TGTAAACTGGACCTCCGTCGATGATCACCACGCCCATCAAGCCCGGTGGTAGAATCTCGTTCCCCCGCTCTCCTCACCACTGCCTCCCGATGAGTCACACTTGTCCTTGGGTATCCCCACAGCAAACTTTGCTGACAATAAATGATGTTGTCCAGCTGCTCCCCGGGATAAGCCATGTCTACTTTCACTTCCAATGGTATAACACTCTGGACAGTCTGACACAAAAAGTGTGTACTAACGGTGATTGTGTGTGCGTAGATGTTGCACTGTATATGAAGAGAGACTGTATGCAAGACCCATGACGACAAATACTATTTTGCAGGCAACAGATGAAAAGTGATAAGTTTATGAATGCAGGATAATTATGCAGAAAAATGTTTCTGAAGATGTCCTGGCGGATCCTGAAGTCATGAAGAAAACCTTGATAATGTTGGTAAAGTTGATTACAGTACATAGCATGTACAAACTTGAGGAAGGCAGCCTAGACAGGCACCTCCCCCTTCCTAACATCAAAAACTTAACCTAAGGTTAAAAACTTAACCTAAGGTTAAGTTTTTGAATTTTTGATATAATTTTGAAAGTATAAGTTCTTAGTCAATGAAACTTTGACTATAGGGTAATCAAGTATCCCCAATCATGTGAGTAGAATTTCAGATCACAAAGTCAAGGTCAAAGGTCATTTCAGGTCAACAGACTTGGACTATGTTGTAGCATCATCATTGAAAACTTAACCTAAGGTTAAGTTTTTGAATTTTTGATATAATTTTGAAAGTATAAGTTCTTAGTCAATGAAACTTGGACTATAGGGTTCTCAAGTCTCCCCAATCATGTTAGTAGAATTTCAGGTCACTAAGTTAAGGTCAAAGGTCATTTAAGGTCAACAAACTTAGACTTTGTTGTGGCATCAACATCAAAATTTTCAAAATGCTTCTTCTTCGTTATTTTTCAACCGATTTTGATTCTGATTGTTTCATATGATAGGACTAGGAGGGGGATTTAAAATTTCTACACAGAATCGTGAAATTCATTATCTATGCTAATTTATGCAAATTTATTCGAAATCACAAAAAAGGCTTCTTCTCCTTCATTTCTAGACCGATTTTGATTTGGTTTGCTTTATATCGTAGAGCTAACTTTGGTACACTAAACATCTACACAGAATTGTGAACTTGTTCTCCATTAATTAATTATGGTAATTTATGCAAAATTTATTCCAAAAATAACAAAAATTGCTTCTTTTCCCTCATTTCTTGACCGATTTTGATTTGGTTTGCCTTATCTGGTAGTGCTAAATTTGGAACACTAAACTTCTACACAGAATTGTGAGATTTTGCTCCATTGATTATTTATGGTACTTTATGCAAATGAAATGAAATTATGTACCTTCCAGGGCATCAAATTTTTATTTTTTGACCAGTTCAAAAGTGTACCACATAAAATTTACGATATTTGTTGTTGCGAGATGCGGATGAGCGCTACGTCATTGACGTTCTGGTTTATCATATTGAATTGCGTTATGCAGGCGAGACCGCCGAGAGCGTTTCCCTTGTTTATATTTCTTACTTGCCAAAAGAAAGTCACTTTGTAAAACATCAATATCTGTTACTTGAACATCTAATCTTCTACCTAGCTGAATTTTCCTGCTTAGCCTATTCCTTAAATTAAGATACTCTTTACGGGCAGCTTCACAACCATAATTGTGATGCCGAATTCACATTATGTTGTTCTTTATGACTCCTTGTTGTCTTTGACTGTTTCCACTTACACACACACCAATATCTTGTGCAGCCTGTAAAAAAGAGTTACAGATCTCAGAGTAGCAATGATATACTAATTCCTGACTTACATTTCCATGAATATTTTCCATAATTCCTGACAATTGTAAGGTTAATCTGTGCAGCCTATCAGAGTATTCATTTGCATTTTCACGATCCCACTTAAAAGACATGTACCTGGGCTAAGACGAGTCACAAATGGTATTAACATCATGAATTTCTTGGTTGTGTGTATGATTTGATTGCAAAGTCATAACAATAGGACAATGAACGTCCGATAAACACTTATCAAATAAGTAAACCTGGAAGTTTTGTATGTTATAAAACAATTCATGAGAAACAATAGCATAATCAATTGTGCTACAACCCCCATTCTTATTGAAACATGTGAAATTTCCAATACCATTATCATCACCGAGCCGTCCATTGACGATAGCAAGACCTAAAGTTTTACATATGTCAATTACATGACTACCATTGTTATATCCATATTTTTACGCCTGATGGGCATATATGACTTATCCATAAGAGGACACATTTTTTATTTTTTTGTGGTCTCGAAATTTGAAAATTTGAAATTTTGCTCCGTTGGGGGGGGGGGGGGGGGGTAAGGTCAGCTTTTTTAGGTCAACCTTGGGAATTCTTTTTTTTTTTTTTTTTTAATTTTTTTTTTAGAGAAATTTAGGGGGGGTTTACACACACAAAATTACCAAGGGGGGGGGGGGTTAACCCCCCAAACCCCCCCCCCCCCCCTGTGTACGCGCCTGGTACGAATACGGACGACGCGACCGCAGCATTCACGTGCGTGCAACATAGGCTAAACCGAAGCGTGATGAGAACTTCGGTCTGTTTCGCGAACGCTAGCGTGCTGACCCAGTTAATCAAGTCCATTCGTTTACGTGCAGTTGTCTAAAAGAAGACGTAGATGGCGTTAACCAGTATTTCCCATGATACACTCCCTTTAATGGAGACGTTAAGTGATGAGTTATATTATTAGAAGCTATATAGTAGATTGACTGATATCTCAATGTTATAGACATTCGTTGGTTATGTTATTAAGTTGTATTAGAAGCCAAGTTATTATTATGATATCGATGAAGAGTGATATTGCCCTTGTAAATAAAGCACGGATGTAAGGGAAGTTTCTTTGATTTACAGATAGTAACGTAATGAACTTCCCAGATGATATTCCTAGTGATATATTTCAGAAAGAGGACACCGGAGAGTTACGAATTCAATGTATGCGAACAGGTATATTATTTGCGTTTAGTACTTGAAGAGTATTGCTATGCAGCGCAATACTAGATCCACATAATTATTTACAAAAAATAAAACACTTTTGAATGAGGAGGCCAATTAATTCACCGATATGACTTTTTCTTCACAGGTCGTGTGCTCGAGTTGTCAACGATGGCTACTTCCTTGCAGCAGGCTGTCGATAAGAACCTCGAGTGTCCTGTCTGCCTGAGCTTCTTCAAGGACCCCAAGATCCTGACCTGCTCCCATACCTTCTGCAAGGGTTGTCTTGAGACTGTCATAGAGTCTCATCGGAAGCTGTTATGTCCTACGTGCAGGGAGGAGACTTCAGTTCCTGGTGGAGACGTGGGTAGATTGCAGCCAAACATAACAGTCAGATCACTTGTTGAAGATGTGGAGACCCAGGGCCATTCCAATTATAATCAAGAAGACAAATGTAAAAAACATCCGAACCAAGATGAAGACTGTTTTTGTCTTAGCTGTAAAAGGTATGTCTGCTGCAAGTGTGCCATATCAGAGCATGCAAAGGATGCTCACACAATCCTGGAAGCAGGTGTACATGAAACTGCGCAAAATAATACCATTGAGGAACTTGCATCTAAAGCGGATACAAAGATACGCAACGTTGACAACTATGTTACATTCGTTGTAGACAAGCGTAAAAGGGTGCACAACGTACATGAACAACTCAATGATGAAATAGATAATACTTTTGAGGAATCTGTTCAGAAGTTGAGGAAATTAAGGACGGTGTTAAAAAACGAAGTCGGGCAAAAGCTAGGTAAACTTGAGAGTTCATTGGGAGACATGGAGGAGTCAGGTCGTAAACAGCTAGACCAGATTAAGACAGCTCGGGACTTGGTTAAGAATGGTCTTCATATTCCTCTCCAGACAGAGGCTTTTACCTCACATAAAGCGAAGTGTCAAACGCTGGAAGAGCTTCTAAGCCAGATTGGGCCAGATGTGGAGCTGCCCAGGAGAACTGCTGAGGAAGGTGAAAGAGTTGGCTTCAGGAGTCTTGGATCGGATGGACTCCAAATGGGCCAGTTAAGACAAAAGGAGTCCAACTGGATGTTCAGGGAAGATTCGCTGCCTCTTAGAAATGCCATGGGCGGAATGGCAATATCACCAAACAATAAGATGGCTGTCGGTTGTTACGGGGGAGGAATAGTCATGTATTGTCCTGAGTGCAACATGCAAGATATCGTTCTGAAATCTGTTCGAGTTAATGCACTACACGTTATGCCTGATGGTGGATACGTCATACGCGACTCGAATAACAAAATTGTCTTGTACACCGAGCTTCGTGAAAAGCTTGATGTAACGTTTGAGACAATTGATGTTGCGAAAGGTGGATGGCTTGGTGGTCTCACTGTAGACAAGGATGGGCTGATCTTCGTAGGTTACGATACATGCAAGAAAATACAGGTATTTAAGCCAGAAGGTGGCAAGGCAATTAGAAAGATAAAGTGTAACGGATTTGAACCATGGCAGATGTTTGCGATGACATCCAGTCAAACGATTGTCGTTAAGGATTGTTGTTCCGACGTACACGTGATCAACGATGTGTCTGGTGCTATCATTCATAGCATCAGCAAGGATGATGAAGACTCTTACCCTGCTGTGTATCAGGATGATTCAGTTATCATTGCATGGGTTAAGCACGATCAGGGTCTGCTGAGCATCGTTCACTACACAAAGGAGCTCAAATACATCAAAAACATTCTCACTGACTTCGAGATAATCAAACCAAATCGAAATTGGTACTCTTTACATGCATTCAAGACGGGAGAGATTGCTTTCTGCACTTCTAATAGAATTTACATCTTCCATGAGACGTGGGAGTAAATTTCAGTTTTGAATTTGAAACTTGATGTTTCATCGAATATTGGAACTTTAAAAATCCCGGATGCAATCCTTTCAGTGCTCCTGCTTTGTAAATAAGCCTCTATGTAAATCAAAGAGCAGGTCTAGACTCCACTCTATTATAATGCTATCATAATGTTGGCGAATTTCATTATGCTGTCGGCAGTAGATAATGTAACGTTTACTCTTATGAAGTATCAAGATCTTGCTCTCATTATTGCAAATGGTGGTTATTTTATAGACTGATGTAGTTAGATAATCGAGGAGAAGAGGGGGTAGTACACCTTCTAAACGACTGAAAGCATATTGCACATGTAATACACAGTCATGCATTCGGCATTCCTGCTATTATGGTGGATGAGCAGCTGCCTTCTTCCAATGATATTTGTAATACTCATAAGATTCCCTTAGTGTTCATGCTTCATGGTAGTCCAACGTAATCAAATTATTGTTTTCAAAATACAATGTATTACTATGTATCTGAAAATGTTTGTTTTTAAAATATGCAAGATACTTGGCAATCAATTAATGTATAATGTCGGTAATGATGGAGAAGGCGTAATTCTATATACATATGTTTTTTGTTCTTTGTTTCAAGAACATTTTTGATAATTTAGGACATCATTTATTTTTGTCATAGTTGTTTACTGGAAAAATGTGTAAAAATTGTGAATTGTGTAAACGTTCTAAATGGCCTTTCTTTGTACAATCCCTAATTCCCGTACATTCCTCTATCTCTCTTTGCTTCATGAGCATTTATAATTCAGTCATTCATTCATTCATTCAGTCATTCAATCGGCTAGGTTTATTGAAAGAAAAATCCTTGTAAATCAGTCCAAAGACTGATGCATACACACGTTTCATAGTTTTATTGTTCAAAATTATACAAAGACTACATTACATTCACCAAAATTGACTAGGAACAAAAAAATTGGGATAAGAAATGAAGACAAAAAATTGTTAAACATGTTGCACCTTAAATTGATAATAAAAATACCCCCCCCCCAAAAAAAAAAGGGATTATAAAGACAGAGAACGAAAATGATAATTGACAAGCTGGGGAAAACGACAGAGAGAAGAGAGGGAGAAAGATGAGATTGAGGGATCTGTTGAGAAAAGGTAAAAATTGAAGAGTGCCATTTCATTCGTTCATGTTTTACATTTGAATCCTAATACGAGCAACAGAATCTTTGAAATCTTTAAAATATTGGGTATGTATATATAGTTACGAATACATTTATATAAATACCTATACTATGTTCATAGGTTAGCAGACTCATGACAGCAAAATAGAAACCAATGATTTAGCTTAAAACTATCATGTCTTACATCGTCACACTATTCTGGCAGCAAGGAATCAACCGCTGTATAAAGGGGAAAACAAATGTCATTTTAGTTTATAGTCCAAAGATGTGAAAATAACACAGCTATGTGTTGAATTTCTTGCTCAATTTAAATTCAAACTACCCATTTAAGTACTAATTGTGTTAATGTTACATTGATATGCTTTATAGTTGACTAAGAAGTTTAGTGTAAATGTACAAAATGTATTTGTCACATAATATAATGTATACAATCAACGAGATCTAGTGCACTTATTAAGAACTCATTTGTATCCTTTAATTGGAAAGGAAATCAATGTATTATATACTTTAGTTTCTAATGCAAGCTGTAGTTTATCTTATTAGTAATAGTATGCATTAAAGATAAAGACCAGTTATGGTCATGCGATTGATTGTGGAATCGATCAGAAAAGGTTGATCATCTAGCATATAAGTATTGGTGTGTACTGCAAGGTTCTGGAATCATCAAAATGATAAGAAATTTTGCCCAGTCTTCGTAAAGTTACAAGCACTTTACACAGAAAGACGTATATGGGACTATACGCACACGTGCGCGACACGTGCGTTTATCTCTCACAGACCATTAGATAAACTAATTTACCAAATATATCAATTAGTAGGCGGTTTCCCGGCAAATTTGTTATCATCGTGTATTAGTCAAAACATATTCTTTCACATGATTGGTAATAAGAGCTTCCATTTCATTTTTTGAAATTGGGGCGTTTCCAATACTGGTCTTTACCTTTAAAGTCAATTCCCCCTTACTTGGTTTATGATAATTCATAGTAGATTAATTAACTTTCTTTATTATATTTGTTAAGAGTAAAGAGACATCTCAATGTTAGTCGCTATAAAAGCATGCTTATTGTTATTATTATGGAATTATGTTAGTTATCATCTTCCATTAAAATTATGTTACGAATTTCATGTTCGATATCATTATATTTTCTTAAAGGGGATAGAAGAAATAAACTGGAGTTATGAATTTGATCACTGAAATTTCCAGAAAGCTGTTCTTTGTCCTGTGTCATTGGTGTGAGAAAAAAAATCCAGAAGAAGTGAAAGACCGAGAAATAAAAAGTATTGATTTTAAAGAATCCACGCAGGAGCCAGGAGGTATATAGAAGCTTTTGTTGATGATATTCTTATGATATTATGTCAGCGGTTATAACTTATAACGGCAAGCGTGAATGTCAGCCATCAGGAAGAAGAGGGGAGAGGGTAGGGGGATAAGTCCAAGGAGTTAGAGAGGAGGAAAGGAAGGGTGAGGGTTAGACGTATATTGTGTGTTTAATAAAATAAAAACTCATAATTTCAATCCTGTATAATAATATGTTAAAAATATATTGATTTGTTGTTGTTGAAGTATTTAGTTTTATTCTGGAAAAAAAGCAATGCTGATTTTAGATTTTGGGATGAAAATAACTGGAGTTTTAGGAAATAAATTCAATAAATACAAAAAGTAAAGACTCTCCTTCTGAGTCTGCCAAACTTTCTTCAGCTTTCTTTGTATCTAAGGAAATACAGTCTCCGTTTCTGACTTTTCATCAAATACTGAGAGCCTTTAAACTCAATCTACTTGCCTTTAGTTCGTCATTGACAAAAGGATATTAACTTTTCCTACTCTCGCCAAAATTGTACAGGGAGTCGCTTATTCTGATATCAGATATCAAACTCATCTAATACTAATAGAAAGCAGAAAATTCAGAGAAGCACACTTTTGGAACTTTGAACGAAATCGGACAAATAAGTTATGAAGTTTTAAAAGTTGTATAGTAAGGGAACTTCAAATTGGCTAAATAGGTTATATCACTGTGATGTAGTGCCGGACGACTTCCCATTTGCTCCAACAAACGAACTATCTAAAAAAATTATTTTTTTAAACATTTTTTTCACAATGTAGGACTCGGGAGTTATTTTTCTTTCTAGAGGACATATGATATAATGCTATCCATTATATATTTTGAGGAGTGTCTCCGAAGGGAGAAGGGACTTTCAGGTTTGATGGAAACAAATTTAGAAATTAATGATATTTTATTACACGACAAACGGAAGAGTTGTCCATGAAAACGTCACCATCCACTGACCAAATAGCCAGTTTGAGATTTGCAAAGCTTTAGTGATCTCATTTGTCAAACAATCACACCTGCCTTATCAGTTGTTCGTTTGATTCAACCTTTCGCCAATCTGATTCTGAACTTATTATAAAGATTGGATTACCTTTTAATACCATGTTTCTAAGCGCATAATAAACCTGTATGGATCCTAACACAAATAGTTTTCTTTTGTATTGAATTTTTTTTAATTTATTTTTAGTCACTTCAAGGTACATTGATATATTTAACAAATGATTCACACACCAGTGAAAATGAACATTCGATTTGTGATCCCTGCAAAAGAATAATTTTGTAGAATTTTTTAGGCCTACCCCCTCCTTTTTTTGTATATACTTGTATCAATACTGTATCTTTTACTTTTGGGTAGAGACTCTATGTCTCTGATACAAAGCTACCATACGTACAGTATAGATCAGTCAGTATATTATGCAATCAAAGTGGGAAAGCCTTTGTCCCTTCCCAGCTTTAATAGAGGACACACAAACCCCGCCCAAAGAATGGAAGAGTCCAGGACACCATGAGGAGGGACTAAATAAAATGATTGATTGTAAAGCCCATGTGCCATTCCACGTCTTGACACTATAGCTGCATCACAACCAACCACCGTTTCTCCTCGTGTTCTTTTATTATTGGTAAGACAATTTATTCCTACCTTTTATCATATGTTACTTTGTATACAATTATGATATTACACTAATTTAAATACAATCATTTGAATACAAGTTGTTCATATACCATGCATGTAATTCTTGATGATAGGATGCGTTTTGGGAGATGGATATGTGAGAGTTGGATGAGTGCTTCACTTCAGTTGGTATATCGGATAGAGTCTTTTACATCTGTAATCACTGTTAGTACAACCCAAAGCTTGTCGGTAATCATTTAGATAATGAAGTATAGAATATGAAATTATTTGAGTAGTTTGGATACATTAATGCTGGAAATGTACATATCGATATACAGCTATAAGGCAAACTTCAAGCGGATAATGATTTAGATGTGAATAGGTCCATCCTGGACCATATGATAGGGTGTGTTGTGTCACCAAGTTGACATTGAATGTGAAAGTAGCTATAGTAATTTGGAGGTATATGTGAACAAACCCATAGTTATTGTCATGAGTAGTAGTTAGCATGTCAGTGTGTTAAAGATGTAAACATTTCAGATGTAAAGTGGGCATAGGCCTACACAAACTCCCGCGCTGGCAGAGAGAGAGAGAGAGAGAGAGAGAGAGATAACGACCATGTGGTTGGACAGCGGGGAGACCAGTAATCTCCTTCTAGTAGGGTTAGTCTGATTAATCAGACCCGCTAAGTATTTATAGATTCTTTTGTACAGTAGCTATTTACTTCTAATGCAATGTGTCATGCAGAAAAAAGGGGAATGTGATAGGTAATGCGCTGTTAAGACTAGGGTTCAGCCATAAAGAGGCTGAGAAGTAGAATAGTCACTGAAGAGAGTGATAACTTTGTTTTGGGAGAAGGTGTTCTTTGTTTCCCCCTGGTTATAAAATGCATGTACTGTATGGCATAGGGAGAGATTTCCTTTTTCACCCTCCCTTTTGGAGAGGATCGTTGTTTAATTATGCTGACTATTAACTTTTTTAGAATCAGGGTAGCCATCTTGTTTTCACGTGTGAGACTTCACCCCAAGATTGAGTTAACTTTAATCAGACCCGGCCCCCCCCCCCCACTCTGTGTTATTTAGGGTACGCATTGCTCGTTCCCTCTTTTTGAAAGCATCCCTTTTTTAAGACTGCAACATTTCCGGACCCCCCTTTCGCGGGCTTTTCCTGCCTTGGAGACCCCCGGTGGAGACCCCCCTAAATCAGGAAAAATGCTCAATGTACCCACCTAAATTCGGAATAGCTTCTCAGGAGTCCAAAGAAAAACACCCCCTTTTTAAAGAAATCTCCGGGTGAAAAGTCAAATACACCCCTTTTTTTTTTTACAATTCTCGGGCCGGACATTTTGGCAACACGCATGCGGTCATTCCGACCCCTGAGTTGGGGGGGGGGGGGGGGGGGGCCCGGGAATCAGAGCATTAAACAGTCTGAACCATGTTTGATTTTTTCCCTATATAATATTCCATTATCTAACCTGTGCTTTACACCGCTTTTAAATAGAAAAGGAAAGAAAAAAGTCCTTTTATTAGACTGATGTTGCTTCACCAAATCAATTATGTAATTATGATATGTGTTGGACAGTGGCGGATCCAGGGGGGGGGGGGGGGGAAGGCCCCCTGGCAGTGTTCCTTCCCCCCCTCAAGCCACCGAACGAAATATCTGACGACGTAATTTTCCAATTTCCGGACCCCCCCCCAAAAAAAAAAAAAAAAAAATATACATATATATCTTCATCTGACCGTGATTAAATGCCTTAGAACCCCAGAGCTTCCGGGGGCTCTGCCCCTTGGATTTCACCATTCACCTAGGGCCCAAAGTCAGACACCTTGATGCTCATCTGACGGTAATTTAATGCTTAAAAGAAAACCCCTGACCTTCCGAGGGCTCTACCCCCTTGATTTCACCTAGGGCCCTAAGGCGGACGGCTGGATGCTAATCTGACGGTAATTTAATGCCTAAAACC